ATGATGATGATGATGATGATGATGATGATGATGATGATGATGATGATGATGATTAATAATGATAATAATAATGATAATAATGACGACGATAACGATAGAAATGGAGGTGACGATGATGATGATGATGATAATAATAGTAATAGCTGCAAAACGTTTTAATTGTACAATGACAAGAATCATACATATGTACTCAAGTCCCGACAATAAATACTTCTACTAATCTACAAATTTCTGAATTGACATGTAAACAGAATTTCGAATAACTAAAGTAGTTGTTAGGTCTTGCCATGAAATGGTGGCAGGAAAGCTTGAAAGCCCCATAGGCCTAGTTTCTTGTGTCTGAGCAGTTCACGCAGCTAAGAAATATGGGGCATGTCTTATGGTGAGCCACATTTGAAGTATTGCTCACGTTTTCAAAAACATGCATCTATATTGCTTGCTAAGTGTACGGGCGTTTTTCTGAAGGGATACACGATGAAATTGAACAAAAATATTAAGAGACTTGCAACTTGTAAAGCCCCGGTTACACGCAACGACGATAAATTGTATCAGATGCGTTGTATGCTAGAACTGTACGTTTTTCGAGCTGTGTAGTCTGTTTAGACGTTTCAATCTATCGTCCAGTTTTCTTTCAATCAGGGAGATTCCTTGTCATTGACTTGACTGCAGATGTGCAACGTACCGGGTGACCTTGATACACAACTTCACCGTTGACGATCAACTAAATAATGAAATGGCTAAAATTTACATAATGATGCATCAAATCAGGTTCTCCTCGAACAACTTGAGCTTACTTTGAGACGCTGATTCCGAATATGAAATCAGTTTTTACTTGCGATAATTATTTTTAAAATTTTGAGTCCTGAGTCTAATCCTGCGAGGCGGCAAATTTTAACGTGATTTTACTTCACACCGCGTCTCCCCTAAATCGGCCCGTGATCGCACGGAAAATATCGAGCAGCGCTTGATTTCTCGACCGAGTCTCCAAACGATCGTCCAATCGTCCAAACTTTATACAATTTTGTGGTTACACCGGATGATTTGTCTCATGATCGATAGATCGTCCAGTTTTTGTACAATTTATCGTTGCGTTTAACCGGGGCTTTAAAATGGTAGATCTAGTAGTAGTTTACTACCTAGTGATGTTATGATACTAGTTAAATGATTGCTATCGTTAATATCATTATTATTGTTGTTATTATTATTATTATTATTG